AACCGTGTAATAAAAGAGGCCCATAGGTCATAATGGTAATCTTAAGTATTTTGACATCCTCAACGTAAAACTTCGTCCTAAACAGAGGCCTACCCGAACCTGTGTACATGCACCTGACTTATGGATTACGTAACCCATCCCTATCCACCTTGTAAAATTTGTTATGACAAAATAACTTATCAAAAATACATGAATTTCTAGCATATCATACCTTCATTCTGATATCCAATATCATTTTTATTTTTATTATTTTGAATAAGTACGTATGTTAGATTGTCAAGTTTAAGAGTATACTCCTCTACCGTATATAAAAATGCTATAGAGAGACAATCTCTAAAACTTGGAAAAAAGAAAAACGATGAAAGAGTAGGAATGATAATTATGCTACATGTATTTTTGATAAAATTCGCAGAAGGTGGATAGGGGACTACACCATCCCAACTATGTCCGGTGTTGAAAATCCGTATATCTTTTGAAAATCTTTTTTAATTGTGGACATCTGCCACACAAACAGTTTGAGTGATTATTTATAATTTATGTTTTTAAAAAACCTAGCACTCTACAAAAATCGTGAAATTCATGACCTCTGTCCAATGGTTCAAACCCTAAGGAGGTTCTAAGTTAGTCCTATATTGAAAATAAATCACTTGTTGTGAAATCTTCTTCATTACTAATGGACTTGAAGCAGAAAAAATATATTGAGCAACTATCTCTCTATAAAATTCGTGCTCCCTTGGACCAGGGATCGGGTCACAGGGTGTGGCTACGATGGTCATATATTGAAATTTATTATACAGTATATTTTATCTTCCTTACATTTGCTTTGCTGAATTCCTTGAAAGAAAAACTGCATAAATAGGATAATGATTATAGTGTCGAATTTTTTTAAGTAGGTACTGGGCATGCAGTGCTACAATGTAAGCGGACCAGATATGAAGCAGATCACCAACGTTTTGCGACGCCTTATTTTCGCGAGATACTTATTTAGTATTTTATACGCAAGAATATTTTTTCATGAACTTTGGTTATTATTACATACAATCATTGCTTTGATTACTAATATTCAATTATTGTTTTAAGGTCATTATGGTTATTAAGTCACCTGTGGAGTACAATATTCACCGAGCCCGAAAGAGACTAAATCATCGTATTGACTGAAAAAGCAATAATTGTTTTATTATAGGACTCAATGTTTAACTGATACAAAATACTTAAGCAAACCTCGGAATTTGTCTTGGTTGTTTACATGTATATCATTTCTTCAAATGATTTATAAATTGCATAAATAATTGTTTTGTGTTATATGTAAAAAAAATACACACTTGATTGCTTTTTAATAATTTCATGTATATGTACATTGTACATATATTGATATGTTTGTAAATATTGTCTATGAGATGTATCTCTCATAATAAACTGAACTGTTAAAGCACAGATAACAAAAATAAGCATAAGTAATTGATCAATTTAGAAGCCATCAGTCTATTTTGATCCAATGTAAAAAATAATAAATGTTTTGTTCACCTGGGAGGTTTAGAGCAGATGAACTTAACCACCTGTATCATTTTGGAATTTTCCGATCTCTTTTTTACTCCAATTTTGAAAAAAAAATAAATGCTTATGTTTACCTAGGTCGCTGAATATAACTATAATTTCCAGAATGTTAGATCTCATCCAATCAGGGAGCTAGGAATTATTCAATCATTTAATAAAAATAATTATTAATACGAATACACTCGAGAATGATTTTTTTTTGGCGAGCAGTCGGGTTTGTATAATTAAGCAAAAATAGCGTATTCTCAAATAAAACGTGATTTACAGTGGTCATATGTTAAGAAACTCTCAATATTCAGGTGACAGTCAGGGTCTATGGGCCTCGTTTTTGCTTTAAACTTTAGTTCAGTGATCGTTTGAAACTTAACTGAGTTGTAGACATTTTTATAAGAGAGATTACCCAATTTTCACCTGAGCTTGCAAATCTAATTAATGAGGATGATTTTTATCCAGTCATTTCCTCAGACCTATTAAGAAATAGATCGTAGTTTTCTCGATCTAACATGAGGATAAAAGGTGCATTGAATGTTTGTCAATATTAATAATTTGAACTCAGAAATTCATGGCATCAATATAGTGTAATCTCTGTGCCCATTTAGCTTGATGACAATGTTGTAACAAAATACATTTTCTGGGCATCTTTTGGTCACATTTTCTTCTGTCTACTATATAATGAAACTTGAAATCATGTGGCTGATTATACTTGAGTAATTTATATTAAGAACTACATGTATCCTGTTGTGAACGATTATTATGAAAGATGTCCAACTTAGAGGGATGTTATGTGTTGTGAGTAGATTTGCTGACTAACCATCAGGGTCAATGGTCGACAGTTACAGAGTGAAACGAAATCATTATCAACGAGATGTGTTTTTTTTTAAAATTACTAAAACGGATTCCTCCCACTTATCCCCAAAGCCCACTATGACCTTACTACATATTCCTAAATCAGTACGATATCATAGCTTACAACATATTAGGGAGTCAATATGTTTCATTCGACAGGTCAAAATTATTAACTTAATGAGATTTTTTTCATAATTATCTAATTTGCTCTGTAATACATGACCTTGAGTCAATGTCATGACATGCCTTGGGAAAATTAGCAACAACTACTAAGTTTGAATAATTGTGAATGACCTTGACCTTCAATATTTTAAGGTATGACCTTCAATCAAAATTAAAATACATCCACTGGTCAGTACACTGCAACGAAATCCCAATTAAAGCATACATTCCCACCAACGTCCCAGATTTGGAGTTCCACGTGATTCTGTAACAGACAAAATACAAAAAGGAAGTCGAAGTCACTCATGTCAAACCAATGTCTCCTCCCATTTGGGGAAACAATAAGATTATACATGTATAAGGTTCAACAACGAGAAATATTTACATTCCTTGTATTTTGCTTATAAAATGTGAGGATAGCTACGGCATTCAAAACACCATAACAAGAACAGGGGGTCAAAAGGTTAAAGTATGCGTTTTATTTTGACGTCACAAACGTTGAACACCGTTGAAGTGCAACGTCATAAACGAAAATCAAAATTCACGCTCACATTGAACAGAAGCTGTTGAAATGGTTTTTCCATTAATTGTAACTTACCCGAAGAATAATACAGGGATTTTGAAATCTAAATCACATTTACAGTCAAGGCAAGGAGTTAAAATGTAAATAAAAGCATTGAATCATTATTTTTCGAAAGATATAGTCTCATAACTCCAATGGTGTGTACAAACAAATTGAGTAACGCGCGTTAGGAGTTAAAAATGTAAATAAAAGCATTGAATCATTTTTTATAGATATATATTTACATTTGCTATGTTTTTCTACTAAGCCAACTGTGAAATTGATTTGAATGCCATTTTCGTGTATACTCACGCGTAGAAATATGCACGGAGAAACTCGCGCTAAAGTGACGTCACAATGAGCTACAGAGACGTTAATAAGAATTCAAACATTGAGTATATTTTTGGTGCTTTTAACCATGTAAAATGTAAATATAAGGAATGTTTTTAAGTTTAGCGTAAATTATTGGTGTGTAAATCACACAGACTTGCACGTAGGCATATTTTTCATGAAGCGCTAGCGCGCTTCATTAAATATGCCTACGTGACAAGTCTGTGTGATTTACACACCAATAACTCACACAAAACTTAAAAACATTCCTTAAATGGATGATATTCAATGTTTCGAAGCTGGATATGGAATTTATTTCACGAGTGGGATAGGATTTGTTTTATATTTTCATGAGTGCGATGCACGAGTGAAAATATAAAAAAAAAATCCTGTCTCACGAGTGAAATAAATTCCATATCCAATAACAAAACATTGAATTTTCTGTTTCATATTACATTTTCTTTGATTTCCCCTTTGTCCTTTCTTAACAGTGTCATAGGCTGTGACGTCAAAGTTGAGCGGTTGAGACGTCATAGCTTAGCAATTGCGAGATTGGAAACAGTGTAACATGGATTTTAGCAACAAATTTGGGAAGAAATTGGCAGTTTTAGGCTCTAACAAGACGGTTTAGTTACTATATCTTATGACAGGCCAGAAATCATTTTTACTTACTTTGATATCCTTTCACACCGTGAGAAAATATCACTTTGGTATCCTTTCACACTGTGAGAGAACATCTCTTTTATTCAATAAATAAATCACAGTATTGAACACTGTTGAAAATGTAATAAAGTCTCATAACTGCAATGGTGTTTTTTCATAACACGTTAACGGGAAAATAGGACATTGTGATGTAATATTTAAATGCATTTACTTGCATTAAATGCTTTTGTGGTATATCAAATGCACAAAAAGTGTGTATATGAATAATCTGGTAATGACTAATTAATGACCTGGAAAACAGAGAACTTTTCACATGTAAAACATGACTGTCACTATTCTTCAGATAATATTGCAAGATTGTTGATCTCTACGTTATTTTGCTTTTTTCAGTATTCTAATATTTAATGTGGGTATTGCCATATATTCATTGCAAACATAGTATGGACGATGGAAAACCTCGGTAATTACAAAATTTGAAATAAATCACTTATATAAGAGTTGAAAACTTATTTTCAAATTAAGAAATTTTTGTCAAAAGCGTACAGGTATATTAGGAATTAAATTACTTTCAACGAATGTATTATGATGTTGAGCCCAAGTCGAAGGAAATAATGGGTGTTTATGAACAGTTTTTAATTTGAAGATGTTAACCTTTTTAATATCAAATTCATGTTTACGATTATACACTCAGTAAACCTATAATCATTTTCAAAACTCACGGTGAATGTGTAATTTAATATTATGTCACAGCTGACTTAACGCAAGTATTTTGAAGTTAATGTTTCAATTCATTCTGAATGCTAAAGTACACTTCATTATGCGACACCTGTTGCACTTAGCAGTACTTTACAAGCTAGTATCTTTCGACATACACTGTACGATGTAACACGCGTGTGTATTCAAAATAATGTTTAGGATTAAATTACAGGTAGCAGACCGGAACGCATATTTATTTATTTACCTCCTGAAAATGAACCTAGTTTTTGTAGAAGTATCATGGCAAGTTCAACAAAACTATCTCTTAAACAGCGTTTGATTGCACGAGAAGTTAAAGATCTAAACTCACTAGATTTATGGCGTGCATGCCTAGCTGAGTTTTTGGGCACCGGATTGCTTGCGTTTCTAGCTGTTGCTGCAGGACTTTCGCCAGAAGGAAGCCCACCAGTCTCTAGCGTTCATATTGCTTTGGAAGCAGGCTTTTTCATTGCAGCCATAATAACGACCTTGAACACTATCAGTGGGGGTCACGTAAATCCTGCAATAAGCCTCGGGTTTCTACTTACGGGACACATCGGATTTATTCGTTTTCTTCTTTACATTGCCTCACAGACTGTGGGTGCCATTGCCGGATGTGGTTTGTTACTGGCCTTGACCCCCGATAACCTTCATCAGAGTGGTTTTGGGGTTATTGCCCCAGGGTCAAATGTCACGGCTGCACAGGCCTTTGGGGCAGAGGTTGTTATCACATTCGTTTTGGATTTCACCACTTTTTCTTTCGTGGATAACGGGAGACATGATCTGTCGGGATCCATTCCATTAATCATTGGAATTGTTGTATCCTTAAATATATTTGCGATGGTATGTATAGATAGATTAAATTGTTACATTTATATCAGTGCACACATCTTACGGAAGTTAGCAATTGTTAAGGAATGAAAGAAAAACTACGGGAGTAGGTTGATTTATAAAATACAAATTCCATTTACTAATTGTTTCACAGCTGAATTCGTTAAGACCAGAACGACATTTCCTTTTAATGAGAAAATTATAAATATGCTTTAAAGTATTTGATAAATAGCCATTAGTTACGCTCTAGTTGACGGAAACATACTTTTTAAGATACTAGATTTGAGCAGAGCATTTTCTGTAGTCTACAGATACCGTATTCCATCGAGACTGAAAAATATAAAATGAATACGAACTTCAAAAAAATATATAGGAAATGCATTGAAAAAAAACACTTCATCGGGTGAAAATTACAGATGAATTCTTAAGCAGCTTGTAAATATAATCTCGTTTTTCCCTCTCTTTTACATTAGCAGTTATGCTAGGTTGTAGATACATGTTACGATGGATAATATTTTCTTTATTGTCGTATTTCAGTTCAATATATCAGGGGGCTGCATGAATCCTGCCAGAAATTTTGGTCCAATGGTTGTAACAGGCAATTACACATACGCATGGGTAAACTGACTAAATATATTTTAATGTATGTTTATGTGTGTGGTTCTCATATAGATATCGGTGCATGTTTCTGAATATGTCTTGACATTTATTAGAATTTCAAGACTTATTAGAGTGCACTTTATGGCTATAAATTAAATTAGAAATATTACATCATTGAAATGGATTATCAGATTTAGCTCACATTTTGATATATTCGTTAATCTCTAGCTTTAACAGATGTTTGTTGGGGGGGGGGGGGATAAGGAAATTCTTAAAAAGTATCAATCAGAGTTCATTTGCAATATTTTTTTTCTGCTGATTTCAGAGGAATAGTACGAATTTCCCTTGACATTTCTCATTATCTCTTAAATCCGTGAACAAGAAGGAAGAAAAATGGAGAGACACCCTTTGAGAACATAAATACGTCGTTTAGAATTTTCGAGTAGCAATGAATTGGCTGTCTCTTTGTGTAAAAATCCTTCCTAATAACTTCTACTTGTATAGACCACTAAATGTCTGTTTAATGATTGTTTACAAGTATCGCAAAGAGGTGAAGAGGAAAGCATAAAGAAAGATTCATTAAATGAAAGATAGATATAATAGGTATCTGTATCAACGATATCGTTACTTAATAGGGAGACGATATAAATGACAACTGAGACGGATCTATTTCAACAGGCTTTTCAGATTTCATCTGTGACTATATAAATAAGTTAGGTTATAAAACTTTTTGTTGGTGAAGAAATATAATAGTGTGTTTGTTGCTTGTGTGTTAAGAATAGATTATTAGGGAATAATTCCTCCGAGGCAATAAGAAAGTTTCATGAAAAAAATATGCATGTGGTGCACCATTGCACAACATTTCAATACGTTTTGGAAATAAAATGTTACATTAAAAGTGCAAACTTTATCAAGTTATTGTTATAAATAAGTTTAACTTGATAAAGTTTAAACTTTTAAAGTAACAAAAAAGGAAAGGAAAAAAGCATCGTATGAATACTGTTCCTTATTTCCATATATTTCATAATGTACCCTGATTGTAAAACGATATCAAGGCAACAAAATAGATTGCTAAGAGGCTGTGCCATGAATCATTGAGCTTAGGATGGAAAGTGATTTTTTTTAATTATTTTTACAAAAGTGACATTAAAAGATAAGTTAGAAAAACAGATAAATAATAAAAACTTTTTTTTTTCAAATGTCATGATTTCCATAACAACAAAATACACACACACACCCTCACATGGAAATAAATATTTTCCGTTACTATGGAAATTGACAACTATTCAAATGTGAAAAATAAAAAGAAAGGATTTTATTTCAAGGAAAAAATCACAACTGCAGATTTACATGTCTTTATCTTTTTCCAGTGTGTATGAATAGTTCCTGTCCCAGATTTGATAAATGAACTATCCCACTCACAACCATTGTAGAAGTGTATACATGTACATGTACAATCTTTTTTAACAAGACCTCATTTTTTACCTCTCATATTGTGAACAATAAACGTGAGCAATGGAAGATCATAAATAAAAATGCATTATCATATTCTCCTTTTTCAGGTATATTGGCTTGGGCCTATGCTTGGTGGTGGACTTGGGGCTGTGTTGTACGATAAAGTATTTTCCACACGGGTCTGCAAAACGAGGCTGAAAAGTTGTAGAGGATCCGCCACACACGAGGAGGAGACGCTCTCTGTAAAGGAGGAAGAAAATGGGAACATCAATATAAAATTGCTTGATTCCGGACAAAATTCTTAAATTGCAAATCTGATATTGCCAATCCAAATATGTTTTATCGTTCCAAAGGAATGTACGATAATTCAGTTAGTGTATAGACACTGTAAAATATACGTGTATATTGAATTATATGTCCTCCTAGTACCTGTTGATAAAGGGACTTTTATTTATGTATATAGTGTTATATAGTGTTCCTAGAAATTAGTGAAATTTTTTAAAAATATCTTAAAAAAAACATTATAAAAATATAATAATTTGATATCAAATTTTTACCAAAGGACAATACTTGCTTAAAATTCTTTCTTATGTGCAGTTTTCATGAATTAATGACCATTTACTTTGTATACTTCCTGTCGATTGCTAATGTTTAAAATGAGTGCTTTTGAAAACAAAGAGCCTAAGGTAGATGTATATTATCAGAGGATTGCAAAACTAGTGATACTTCCGAAACTCTGAGTATTCCATTGTCTACTTCACATGGGTCAAAAATTTGAAAAAAAGGAATTGAGCAGAGAGAAAGAGTTGGTAGGGTTACGAAAGGGTTACGAAAATAACCGTATTTTTCTACAGCCAATCTTGTTCTTTCTGAGCAGTGAGCAGATATCCAAGCCTTCTTTGGTCTGTAAGGCCTACCAACTCTTTTTCTGGACTGAATTCTCTTCTTTTTCAATATTATGTGCAATACAATACAAAGTAAACAGTGAAATTCTGAGCGTATCAGAAATATTACTTGGTTTTACAATTCCTTGATAAAAACATATCTTTAACAGGCTTTCTGCTCTCAAAAGTTCTCTAACTTTGAACAACGACAGACAACAGGAAATATATTAAATAGATAGGAGGATATCGTTGAAAATTGCATTTATCATAAGAAAGTAGGGGTATTATTATCAGATAAAGAAGTAACAATTAATTATTTTATATGTTATATAAATCCAATATTTTAGAAAAAATGTATTGCCAAAAATTCTGTGGGATGACTGTTTTGTTACAATCAACTTATAAATAAAATACTTCATCATAAGATAACAGTTGTCTTTAGATATTTTTTATACGATCTAGCATTCATCAACGTTTTGAATCGGCAAATTAATATATATAAGAATAAGTGAGCAAAACTATTTGACTACATGCTTGTATTTGTGTTAAATAATTTTGAAAGTACCTTTTCCCCACCGTTTTTTTGGTATGAACTGAACTAATAACTTGTGGGGATATTTTTCCAACAGTAATCAAAACGCAAACACCGGAAATATTAGAATAAACTTTCCGCTAACTTTAACACAGACATGGAAAATATTAATCTATAGAAAACTTCATAATTACAAAGTGAAGAAATGCATAGATGTGGTGTAAAATCGATAGAATATTCTGGAATCGCAATTATCCTTTGGTAGATGTTACACCCTTAAACCATGGTCCCCTACAATTCCTGCTCAGATAAATGTAAAGTGTACTTAATGAGAATTGTGATTGGAATTTTGCTTGTGGGAATTAACCATTCAAACATGAATATAACAAGGTCGGTTTTATCTCTCCTGATCTTCCACTGACAGATAAAAACCAAAACCCGGCAAGGTCACTGATTGGTGCCCTCATTGATTCCGGAAAGAAAAAGATGCTTTGTTGACATAAAGTCATGGAAGTATGATTGTGATCGGATAAAAGACAAATCAAAGTGGATTATTATAAAAGAAAAATAAAGAATTGAGAATAATGACCTTCATACAGAGTCAAGATGTGGTCAGTAAGGGGAGGTAAATCATTCAACCAATCTATCAATGAAACGTACATAGAGTTAGATAATCTTACACTTTAAGAAGTTGATTGATCTCGAGAATTCTGCACTTTAGACAATTACCTTTAGTCTCCGAGTCACTCTCTAACTGATACATTACCCGTGGTTGATCTCAAATCAGAGATGTTGGAAACTTTATTTGATAAATCCGAAGACGACCCAAACAGCATAGAAGACATTCTGTAATTAAAAAAAAATATTACTTGAGAAAATTATGATGTATTGTAATTGGACACAATTATTTTTTGATGCACTAGTGTATCTCAAGACATGTCAATTTGGGATGAAATCTAGAAATGAAAGATATATATTGATGTATTCGTTTGGTAAAGAATGGGTAAAATCATACCCCGACTGTCATGGGACCGATCCATCAGGCGACGGGATTAACGACAGATCATTAAATTTCATCGACGTCTTCTTTCGCCAGAAAACGCGGATATTTATTTTACTTTACTCACTGGAGACAATCGAGAAGTCGCGTCAATTTTTAGTAAAATAAATAATCTCGTTAGTCTATTATTCTAAAGTACATTTTCTCAAGTCTTTCCGATTTTTAGTCTGTTTGATTCTGGTATAAGCAGTCATTCTAAGGAAGTTTTTTCCCCCTTTTTTTGAAAATTATATATGTATATATATATATATATATATATATATATATATATATATATATATATATATATATATATATATATATATATATATATATATATATATATATATATATATTTTTTTTTTTTTTTTTTTTTTTTTTTTTTTTTTTTTTTTTTTTTTTGCATATAAAAGTTTGCTTTACTTTGATAAAGAAGAGTCAGTATTTTGAAAATACGTCTGAATGTGTTAAGTCCTATATAATTTTGGAGCGTTTTATGAATGAAAAGAACGTGAGCGCTTTTGATATGGATCGACAGGAATGGTCGCACTTGAAAAGTGAAAATTTCATTGATCTTTCAAACGAAATTCTAGCGTACGATTCTAATGATAGACCACGGTCCTGTGACATGAGGAAAAATATTTTCACGTAATTGGGTTTGGATTTGCTAAAATAATCAATAAAATGTGGCTAGATTAGCAAATTGGTACAGAATATTACATTTTAAAACTCTTTTTTTTTCATTTCTGGGTCATCTCTCCAAGAATTTAAGACGTGATTTGTGTGCATTTTAACTCAATAAATTTAACAAACATTTGTATAAAAAAAATGGAGAGAAAACACAGAGATAAAAAATGTGAACTTTTCTCCAAAAAATCACATTGTGTAAAAGCGCTACTTCATTTCTGTTTTACATATAAAATAAACTTTAAGCGTATTTCACCAAAAGCTCAGCAGTGTTTCCTGTCTCTCACGGAGAGAGAGCGATAACTATGAACTTAATCCTCTCATGGAGATTTTTTTTAACCTGGCAATCAAATGGTTTGTCAGATTGATTTAATTGATTTTATTAAAATTTAAACTAAAGTTTAATCTTGAATCTGTTCCACTGAAAGCGAAAACAAATTACATGTACATGTATTTATCAATACATTTGCCTTTATTTAATTAATACCCCATTATTTCGTGACAGTTTACTAATTATGAAAGATGATACTAGCATATCATCGCTTATAGGAGTAGAATTAAATATTACAATATTTCATGTATATGTATTTGTCAAGATATTTCATTGCAGTACATTTTCTACCTTCGTAACTTTCGTAAAGTCTGTCCAGTTGTGAACAGTCGACCAAAACGTCTAGTTGACCAAACATTTAAGCACGAATGATTCGTACAAACGATTCCTGCAGATTGGACGCTAAATACGCCCATCTTCTTTCAGGCAAGGAATGCAAACGCTCATTTATCACAATTTTAACATCTTATCATCTTTCAGCAACAATCCGATTAGTTTGCTTATAAACGACAATAATTTCTTTTTATCACTGACAAACAAGACTCTTGGCCGATAATAGCATCATCATTTTATTGTTTTTGGTAATAATTTAGGAATAAGTCTGACCAGTATTCATTTTGTTGTTAAGTTTTACTTGACGAGATTGTCGCATCTGTCTCGAGTCAAATTAACGGACTGACTTATTTGGAAGGGTTACCTAAAGTGATATGGTCAGTTACTTTCCGTATACTAAGTATTTAGACAGAGAAAATCAGGGATTTTATTCTTCTGGGATGAAGTTGCGAATCGTATTTAAACCTTGGCAATCATGAAAAATTGAGGAAAAATATTTGATTGAAATGCAATTTGGCGACATCGAAAATTTAAGCAATATCTAGGAACAAAACAGTATGTGAGCATAGGCAGATCTAGAACACCATCTACATCAATAATTTTAGTATGAAGAGAAATTGAAACAGATATTATGCCTCGCTTGCAGTTATTCCAATTCATTTGATAATAAATAAATTAATGAAATGATAAAATGTTTACCAACATTCTTGTGTAGTACAAGTAAAATTAAATGAAGTTGAATGTAAAAAGTCATCTTTTCATCTAGCTTGCCTGTGTAGCATGAAAGACGCATATGAATAACTTTTATACCTCGGTTCTAGTTTTTTTTTTTTTAAATGTATTCTACGTTGATATACAAAGGTTTTTACTGTGATAAGAATCAATTTACTGTGATCAGCTTCGGCCGATCACAGTTGATTCCATATGAGGCATCCGCCACATTTAAGTAACTGCGCACACATTACGCCGTTTTTTATCCCAGTTGATTCGATACGCAAGAGCATGCTCTACGTACGATCATTTTTTTTAAAACGAGGCAAGCTATTAACCAACAAGTTGATGAAACAAGGATATCAACAGTCTCGTTTGAAGTCATTATTTCGCAAGTTCTAAGGTCGATACAATGACCTTTTCAGCAAATTACAAGTTATGATTAGGTCAAATCCCGACTGACGTTTTTCATACTATTAGTCCATTATTTACACACTGAATTTTTTACGAATTTTTCCGTTTACTTCATCATGACAAGGAGACACGGCGGGTGTGACCGGTCGACAGGGGATGCTTACTCCTCCATGTCACCTGATCCCGCCTCTGATGTTTTTAGAGGTCTGTGTTTGCTCTGCTCCCGATTTGTGCTGTTTAAATGGACAATGAGCTTGAATACTATTCGCTATCTCCATATCTCATGTGGCACATAAGATAGGAAAACTTGTCGAGTATCCGATTTTACCCAATGTTCAACAAGTTCCTTTATTTTTCAGTATTTGGACTGATTCTTCCTTCATTGCTGATCACAATTCTGTCGTTTTCAGTGATTGGTTTTGGTTATTCATGAAAAAAGGTTAAGAAAAAGAACAGTATTCGATCTCAAAAAATCTACAAACAATACAAATCAAATCTGTGAACAGGCCAGAAAACATGGACCTCCGGAAATTGCAGAGGTTGGGTCTGGTGACTACGAGTAATAAACATCCCCTGTCGACCGGTCACACCAGTCGTGAGCCTTGAGTATTGATCAGGTAGGCGGAATATACTGTAGTCAAATTAAGTATTAAAACGAAGGTCTAGCAATTAGTATGAAAAACGTCAGCCAAAATACGACCCAATGATTGATACATTTGCTTACAAGGTATAACGAAAATAGATTCAAATAATTAAGGGGGAAAATGTCTAGGTTTTGGTTTATGATGTGAGCAAACAGTTTGATCAATATCATAAAACCAAAAAAAAAAAAAAAAAAAAAAAAAAAAAAAAAAAAAAAACCAGACAGTTATTACTTATATCTCCATTTTACTTTATCCTTATTTGAATAAAAATTGATATATTTAGGTTATTTTTATTCAATAATTAGAATGCTCCGCCCAATACTTTACTAAGCCACACACAGCGAGAAGGCAGTTCTGTTACGTGATAAACAAATGGCTCCATGCGGATATCAATTTTTTTCTTTATTTTGCTTTTATCTCCGACAAGGACATTTGAAAATGTAAATATATATTACAGAATAAAGCATTCTAATCAAGTTAACAATGACATTTATACTATTACAATTTTTTCTCGCCATGTAAAATCAGTTTGTATTTTGTAATTATTGATGAGCAAACAATATTAGAATCAACACTCTAAACTTTACGCAAAGTATCCCTAGAAGGACGGAATTAGTTTGTTCAAATGAATAGCGCTGCTGCTTTTAAGGGGAGATAATTAAGAAAAGGCAAAAATAGGGTGTGCTCAGTAAAAAAAAAAATCTTGTTAGGATCAA